TTTTTTTTATACAGGTAGGGGCCCTATAATGAAAAAAAGACTATACACTTTAAATTAGACTGTGTGTTTATTTCTGACATCGGTGAACCAATATTGAACCAACTGCAGGAGCATTAAGTAAAGGAGACTGTTATGACAGAGCTCTGAAAAGGAGTTCAATTTTACCCGTAAACTGAACTTCTAATGGAGAAAACACATGAGAGATAACCCGTGTGAGCCAAAGTAACTTAATTTATCTTGCTAGAAGCCACAATAGATGTAGCAGTTTGGGAAAAAAACATCTTTCCAAATGTTTACTCAGGTACAAAGCTTTTATAATACAAAGACTTAAGATTTCAAGAAAACGTAGAACAAGGTTGTACAATCAGACACTTGAAGAAAACCAATCAGACATTTCAAACTTTTAAATTGTTCATCAGAGCGTTCAAACCTGCTATCATTGAGTCAACTGATTTTGTTTAAAAACCATTAAATTTTGTCCAGACCTGCTACTTAAATGGGTTCCCAGACATATTAAACAGGTTGATTTTGTACTTGGCACATGCACGTTATGTATGATTTTTCCAAAAACAAATATATTCACAGCCGGAATCTATCCTGCTACTTTTATTTCCCTCATCGCTATGATTCAAAACAAATGTCTATTAGACCCCATCTAACATTTAGAAAATCAAATGTTTTGAGAACTATAATTTTCAAGCAAAAGTCTTCTGGTGTATGGTCAGTTCATGAGTAACGCCAACAATATGTGTGCTATCTGCTATTCAGAGAAGCCTCTTCAATGCTCCCCTCTGATTCTGCTTTTATGTCACTAAGGACTTGACATTCCCAACTTCCCAACACCCATGGCAGTAGTGAATAAGCATATCATTGGATATGGGCACATTATGGAATGGGCTCCAGGGAACAGTGTTTAGACTACAAGTCAGAGAAGGTAAAACCTGTATAAAAAGTGACACCATGATTAGAAACGTTCACACGAGGGGCTTTTCTGGCAGTTCTTAAAGTGAAACTAAACTCAGGAGTTAAATCTTAAAAATGCACTTAAGTAACTAGCACCAATAATTTACCTTATTTGTGTATCACTCAGCTGCAGATCTTCAAATCAACTCTGAATGTGTGCTGACACTGTTCTTCCTTCTGGAGGGTGCCTACTTTTGTTCCCCATGGTCCCTGTGTATGTTGTAGAGTAGCCACCACTCCAAGCTCACTCCCATGATAGACTATACCTTGAATACAAACCAGCTAACTAAACGTGAGATTGTAGTCCATAATGGGAGCGAGCTTGGATCGGTGGTTACTTTACAACACGCATACAAGGACCATGGGGAGCAAAAATAGTAATGTAGCTTATTTAATGGGATAACTCTGGGGTCTGCCATTGCTGACCTTCTTCTTGAAATGCTGGATGTTTTGGATTCTGTGCAGACTCAGACGGGTCCAAAATTTGAGTCCCTGAGCCAGACTAATTACACAGATGAAGAAATTCAAAGGCATGTCAGAGAACCTTATCTGCATAATCTGTAGAATAGTTCCGGCCAGTGATTCAAGCAAGAGGCTCAGCATGACTAGCAGTCACCTCAACAATAGCAGCCTCCACATATATTTATGACAGTTTTCTTTATTCTGCCTTTTGCTGGCTTGAAACTGGAATTTTCAGGAGGCCTAGGATCAATTAACAAAATGTGCAGTATCCATGGCAACAAATCAGAAATCACCTTACTCTGATCTGACTTTAAACACCTGAAATGTGTCTGGATGCTTTAAAGGAATGCTTTGCACTGTCTTACTGGATAAGAATGCATGTAAAGAAACATATTTATAACCTAATTTAGAACAATCCCAATACAATACATTATCATAGTACGGTTTAATTTTATGTCCTTCAGAAAGATCCCCAGTTTAGATTACCTGCTCAGAAATATTACTTTGTGTTGTATTTAGATTTTCTAACATAGCTGCAATGGCTACCACTGTGTATGTCCATCACTACTGAATCTGCAAGTGCCTTTATCAATAGGTTTTATTTCACATAGGTAATTGAATAACTGGGGAGGGAAAGGGAAAACTCAACTGAATATTGATCCTTACTACAGAAAATGGATGACTGTATTCAATACCAATGGTTAAAGCATAACTCTGGAACAAA